TTATTCACAGCCACATCACTGGGCGGGGAGTCGCGGCGTCGTTCTACAAGCAAAGTTGTTCAGGTTTATTCTACACACAAGTCAAGCGTACTCTATCAATCAAGAAGAAAGAGCTCCTCATCTTTCCCAGATTTCGTAAGATCCATTCGCTCAAACAATTGGAGAAACTTCTCAAGGAGCTTAGTGCAGGACGAGGGAGGATTCTGCTGAGCCTGAGTCAGACACCGCATGGGTAGTCGTCAATCTCTCGGTCTTGTATTCTCGTATACGAGCTGTGCATCAAATTGTATTCCTTACACACAAACTAGCGTACCCTTACAAACGAAGAATGAAATTTTCCTCGTAAACCTCTTACTAATGATTTCTGGAATATAGACTTCGCTCATAAGGCATTGGAAACATTTGTCATCCAGATGGTAACTGTTATCTCTCGGGCGAACGAATCAATCTATGCGCTTTCTCATTTTGAACCACGAAGAGGAGGAGGATGTTGGCGCCAGGACTAGCGTGAGTTAAGCTACATTTGAACGCGCCACATGAATTAGGCCGTCATTTGAAAATCTGGAAACTACGCCGCATTGATCGATTCACAAAATACAAATGTACGATGTTGAAGTAGCGGCGGCGCATGTTTCCATGCGGGCAAACTGTGCAACCCATCGCTCTCATGTAAGAATAACGTCATTGATGAATACGAATAGGATTCTTGAGAATATAGATGTATGCGGCAGGCCAATCATTATTCAATGACTGTGTTTAATTTCTCAAAAAGCGCATAATATAGCTTCTGGGTGCCCCAGCGCCTCAATGTTGAACAGTAGTGGCGGGGGGATCGGGCTTTCCCCCACGAAGAAAAAGGCTTTTAAAGAAACAGATTCTTATATAATCGACGAGTTCGAATCAATGCTAGTTTCAGATTTCGAAAATCTAATTCTTAAAATAAGCGAGTGTATAACAAAAAACGACCAAAAAATAAGCAAATCGCTGTTATTTCGCGGTTTTCTTTCGACTTTTATACGGTTATTACCATAGTTGTTAGCACTATTGGGTTTAAGAGCTCGCACAAAGTTGGGGCCCAGTTGGCGCCAATTGGGCGCCACGGTTGTTTTCAACAAATCCGCTGAAAACTTGTGTATAGGGGTTATTTGGGGTCCTGATCACGAACATAACATCCAGTTTTAGCGCCACAAACAACACCTCACAGTAGAGCGTGCCCTTAGGCACTTTTCCCAGGGCGCCGACTGTCAGACCGTGGGAAAGGTCATTGAATCGGAGACTTTCCCACGACAGGGAGGAGCCAGACCGAGGAAAACTGTAAGCTGAGCCAGAAGCATATCTCACGTTTTCGACAACGGAGAATAATTATGGCTTTTGCTACTCTTGAGCGACTCACTCATCAAGAAGAGTACTGGACTTAACCTTGAAGGACGTGTACAGGAAGCTTAAATTGGATCACCTGCAGTTACAGGACTGGTTGCGACCTGTCGTGGGAAGTCTCCGGTTCGATGACCTTTCCCACGGTCTGACAGTCGGCGCCCTGGGAAAAGTGCCTAAGGGCATGCTCTGACTGTGAGGTGTTGTTTGTGGCGCTAAAACTGGATGTTATGTTCGTGATCAGGACCCCAAATGACCCCTATACACAAGTTTTCAACGGATTTGTTGAAAACAACCGTGGCGCCAAATTGGCACCAACTGGCGCCAAATGGCGCCAGCATAATAAATGAATGTCATATTCGTAATCGGGGCATCGAACTACCCCACTAGACAAAGTCTCGACGAAAAATGAAACTTTGAGATTTTGGGGCAGTAACAGTGTAATAATGATGCCCAATCGGCAATAGGGGAAGGCTGAAAACGGTGAGAAAGCAAAGTTTCAAGTGCGGGGAGTAATGCATATATTCGATAGCATTTTCTACGGGGAATCTAACGGCTCTGCGAGTTCATCTGGAAATGCAAAAACATCTGATCTTTTCACAGGGTCATGACGAGGAGGCATTTTCACAGCCACATCACGGCGGAAGCGCTCGTCTACAAGCAAGTATGTCATATTATTCCTACACACACGCAAGCTTACTCTACAACATTGAAGTGATTTCCCCGCTACCTTTTCAAATTTCGGAAAAACCTTCGCTCAAACATTGGAAAATTTCACCAAATAGGCTAACTGTCCAGCCGAGAATTGATCTATGGTTTTCATTTGAACACGAGAGGAGGAGATGTTGAGCGCAGGGACTACGTGTTAAGTCATTTAACGCGCCACCATGGAATAGGGACCATGAAATCTGGAAAAAAGCAATCGATCCATTCACAATGCAATGGACGATGTTGAATACGCGGCCGTTCTAGGGCAACTGCTGAGACCCATCTCTTTGAAGAACGATCATGATGCGTAAGCGAGATTATATGCGCACCACATTCAAACAATTTTTTCTCGAGCCAAAGCTCGAGGGCATGGCGCAATCTGAAGTGGGGCTTTCCAAAAGTTTAAAAACATATTCTTATAGAACTCGACGAGCTGAAATCAATGCTTTTCAGATTTCGAAAATCCTAAAAAATTTCAAAGAAAAAGAAAAAGAAATTTCAAATTTAGTGGCGGTATTGTAGTAACCGAAATAGAATGGCGGGAGAGGCGGGGAAGGAAGGGGCGAGCCATTCCAAGCGCCGGCAAACTTGTGGATCGAATCAGCGTTGAGTTTCACTAGAACGTGATATCGTGATGCGAGAAGACCCTTACTATTATATAAAAGGCACCCATTTTGTGCGTAGGCATCCCCTCCATGTCTTATTGGCCTAACGGCGTAAAGCATACACAGGCAAAGGAGGTCTCGGTGGTCTCTTGTGGAAAAACTGGCGTTTCATTTAGAAAAAATTCCCAGCCTAACAAGGGAGGTCGTTCAGGGTGTGGAAAGCTTTTTCAAAACGGTTTTTCGCATGCTGTAGGGACTCTCACGTAGACCACAATACTGCGTTTCGTTTTCGCTGAGCGGCCCCCATAAGCAAAAAATGCCGAACAAAAAATTCGCTTAGTAACGGTGGTTTTGCTGCCTTCGAGTGAATGTTTCGGACCTGTCAAAACACCACCTGCATTTGAAGGCGCCGCCCCTGCAGATATATCCGAAAACAACTCAAAATTGCTCAAAATTGACACTGTACGTGTAACTTGAGCCTGCAGAAATGTAGAGCCATAAGCCCCCCGCACCAGCGCAAGCGAGCAGGGGGCCGATTGATAGCGGGTGACTGGGGCTGGTCCACGACTTGTGGAGGGTCCGCTCCTCGGGCTACCTTTGCATTTTGATAATCCACCATCCAAATGCGCCAATGCTTCAGCGTCAAAATTAACGCTGTATTCTCATCAGGGACGCAGAACCCTTGCAAATGGTTTCCTACGCCAAAATTGAAAAAAAAGTTCAGCAGCGCCAAACTGCGCCCCAAATGGCGCCCCGACGTCAAAAAACGGATGCCATAATCGGTTCAGGACCCTGATCTACCCCACCGCCAACAAATTCAGGGTACAATCATACGGTTTGACCTAACTCGCAATAAAAGAGTGGTGACCATCGGCTACAGAATCACGACCCCTGTAGAACTTAATACGAAGTTCGGCGCCGAAATCAAGCGCAAATGGCCTTCGGCTCACGGGAACTAAAATCGGTTTCAAGCACATCTCCATCATTTCGCAATCCTTAGAAATCGCTCACATCTAGGACACGCGAGCCCTTGCGGGGGAGACTCGTGAATCCATACCACCACGCTCTGAAAAGGAGATCTGCCGACTTCCAAATCATGGTTCCTGTTGCCCATCTACCACCTGGGTTCTCCCACTTTCCCTTCTACATGGATACTTCTCGTATTGAGAAGGATCCACTGGCACGTTTCAGTCGCACCGGCTGGAGCAAACTATGGCTACTGATCCTGTCACTGGGCCAATTTCGGATCCAGGTCAATCTATCAATTTTCTCAAGCACACTTCTGATTTAGGTAATATCGCAGTGCCCCTGATCACGCAAAAATACTGAGGCCTTAATTTTTATCTCCCGATAAGCTTCATTTACGAGCTAGTTGTCGCCTTTCTGCGCTACAACTTCCACAGATTCTGGAAACCAACTTGTTTGACTCATTTCTTGCTCATGTCTCCATGATGATTACTAACCTATGTACTGCTCGGTGCTCCCTGCGCTATTTAAGAAATTTCGAAGCTCCTACTAAAGCGCACACCAATTCTGCATCAGAGATATGACCTTGGACCACTTCCCTACCGAATTTTTGGCGCTTTCAGAAGGCGCTCAGCGAAAATTGAAACAAAACTAGTACTGTCGTCCCCCGAGAGCCCTACATGCATGGCAAACAAACCGTTTGTAAAAAAGCGCTCCCACCCTTACTGACCTCTTGTAAGTAACAAAAGTAATTTAGGAAATTCCTCGAAGCAACCTTGCCCTTTCAAAATTTCGTGAATTCTCATAAATCACCCTTCAAAGTCTTCTATGCATGGTAGCAGTCATTTGCATATTAGATCATTGCAAAGCATTGTTGAAATAGTTTTTTAGTGATTTTTCACAAATTTAATGTGTAGCTGAATTCGAATATCAACAAAAACGTTTAGACCGAACGCACTCGAGACACCTCGTCGACATTTCCACCACGTCACATCCAAAAATCAACAGTACTCGCCGATGCTGGCTTCGAGATAATGTTTGGTACTGATGATCGAGTATTCGGTAGCCTTGAGCCGAAATCGACAGTTCGACGATCTGGCCGAGTGCGTGAAGCTTTTCCTCGAATTTCTGCTGCAAACGAGAACGGTAAATCTCTTGAAAACGCAGTGGAACTAGGATTAAAGACAAACCCCGGGATTAGCCCGACTAGTAGGAAGGATTTCACGAGGGAAATTGTAAGATCCGTACCTACCTAGATCACTTGAACTTGGTCGCGAAAATTGCGCGGTTAGGGCGCTAATCCTTACGGGCCTCCAACCGTCGAACGCTTCCCACCCACCGCGAGATGTGGTGAGATCAGCGTGCATTAATGTAGAGATCAGCGTGTTCTCTAAAACGACGTTCTCTTTCGCGTGTTTTGACCTCTCTGATCGCCCTGTCTTGCCATCGTACCACATCCGACGTTTTTGAAGGTTAAGGTCTTAAGTTCAGCGCTCCCAAAGAGTTCTCTCGCTTCCCTGTCCACTTTGGGGTCGCTCCGCAGCTAAGCTATCACTGCGGAGCGCTCTTAGTACCAGTTTAATTTCGGAGTTCGCCTTTAAGAGATTGAATAGAAAGTTAATTTGAGTGAGCAGAAAGCCGAGCAGATAAAGCTGTTGGTAACCTAATTCTTGTTATTTTTGGTAGCCTATTTCGGTCCCATCACCATACATCACGCAAATTTCCGCCGTCTTCAACATACCCTTTGTATCAGAAAGCTAGTGCGTCTGCTATGCTGACCAAACAACGCGAATGAGGATTGCCTCCACAAATATAATGGTTTCCTGCCTACGAAATGAGTTACCTATTGCAAGTGTGTCATTTAGATTGTAATTAAATAAAACTATCGTTTATCAATATCACCCTTCACCATGACCATCAAATTAAGTGGTTTTGGCTGGGGGATCGGCGTCATGTTGGTTGACCTGCATTGCAGACGCAACTGGCTGCTGATCACAGAGGATAATGCAGGGTCCGGTGGGGCGTCACGCGGTAAGCTTGGCAAGACGTATGTGCTCAAACTAGTGAATTTCAAGCTGTTTTTCCTGTTAAAGCTCGAAATTGATTTTTCTAGACAACATTCAATTATGGATTCATCGGTGGCCACGGTGTTGGGAAGTCGGCAATGATAAATGCGATGAGAGGAATGTCTTCGAAGCATCCGCTAGCCGCTGGAAAGGTGATTTAGAGAAACTCTTCGAACAATACTCATCACAGCTTTCACAACAAGTATTTCATATTTCTGTTTTACCGGAACACATCACAAACTAGCTTTAGTCTTTGCAGTTTTACTAATTCGAAGGAACGAGATCAATTAGGCCATTCTTTTTTGTATTCCATTTGATATAAGCATTGAAAATAATCTAGACAGCGTAGTCCTAATTCCAGGCTCGTATCAAACGGGGATCATGCGAACGTTTCGAGTTCGATGACGATTTGCTCAAATACAGTGTGACTCTGTGGGAACTCCATTACCCTAAGAAAATCAGTGCTTATTTCGAGTTTATTGAGTGAGTTGTTTTTCGGAATTTTTTATTTGTGGTTCACATCGAACAGGCGTCCTTCCCATGCGATACGGAACTACATAAGCAACTTATTAGGCTAACGTTTCGGCTTCTTCGCCTTCATCAGAGCCTGAAAAAGTCAAAACAATATAGACAGTCTAATAAAGTTACTTGATCTTGGACGGCTACCATCAAATACTCATCTGATCAAGGTATGCCAAGATTAAAAGGAGGTGATCCTGGGCAATTTGCATAGTTTGATTGTAACTACTATTCTCAATGTCAATTAGTGAAAATCCAAAGATCGCCTTCACTACTGATCCTACCTCTTGAATCTCATGAGTGTGATGCAAGTGGGAAGAATGAATTTTTGCTCTGTTAAGGCTGCCACGCGACTAGGCGCGACATGACCTTAATCAACCGCATAGGCTCCAAGGTTGAAATGCATTTGATACATCGGGCAATCATGTGTACGTCTGAAAGGGTGAAATCAAAAACGAATAGAAGAACTGCGGCTTTGAAGGGAAGCGGTGCTTCCATATGAAAACTGTTATTCATTTTTATTAGTTATTGACATTCTGACTTCGTTGAACGGATAAGTAAGTGGACAATATGAAATGTATTAGGTTATCGGAAAAGTCCTTGCGCATTCTCTTGTTCATCTTGCAAGATCTTTTCAGATCGTTTTGAAACATTTTCTGTTGAATGCATGTGAGCGCTGGTTAATGCTCTCTCCACAACATTTCTGTCGTAGCATTTCGCAATGTTCGAAGCTCAAAAATGGTCCTTCACTCAAGGTATGTTCAACTGCTCCTGCCTTTATAAGGCCACAATGTGCGACGATTAAAGCGCTGCAATAGAAGGCCTACGTGTTGTGATAGAACTCCGGACTATCTTTCACAACATGCCATTTATTCGGTTGCCGAAGTCAAGATGCATGAGAAAAAATCTCAAAACTGGTCGGTCTGCCACCCTCAGTGACGAGTTTATTCTGAAGTTGATTGGAGAGAGTCCTTGGTGCAATGCACGATAACTGGTGGAGCTATTCAGTGCTATCAGAGCACAAGGGCCGCTCCTCAATGTCCCTCGAAAAGAAGTGAAACTGTGGCGAAAAGATATCTCGCGATATGACTGACCACAGGTGATTAGGACGATAAAATTTTGCATGGACGTTTAGATTTGCCGCCTGTCTCTCGCTTGCTCCGCCAAGTTTGTTGGTGGTAACATGAAGTGGGATCCTGTCATAAACCGCATGCGAAAGCACGACTGGCTCGGAGGCGTAGATCAAAGGATTCCTATGCCGATTCGAGAAGTGCCTCTTGGGAAGCAACTTCGAAAGCTCATGAGCCTGCAAATGTTTCGCTCATGGAAATCTGCTGCCAACGAAGTCCACTACTACTGGTGAACAATAATATTGACCAGTATCGGTTCCCCGGCATGGTGTCCGAAAATTCTGAGAAACATTACTATATGTCGGCAACGCTCGCCCACGAATTACGAAAGAATCTGACCCGCTTAGTGTGTTCAGCAGACCCGGTTGCGACAGAACACCATGAGCCTCTATTGCTGTCGAAGGTACTGAAGTGAAGGCAGTTCGATGTTCCGGACCTACTCATAGTCACCTTCCTCGAGCTCTTCGCCCCGAAGACTCTAGGTTTATAAACGACCGGCAACCTGATGTTGCCTGCTGAAGAGCAATGCTTCAGCGATTATGGTGGTATTAAACGATTGCTGGCTGCAATAAAGAAGATAAACAATTTTGAAAAAGTTGCCAAATGCGCAAATACATCTCCAACAACCTAGTACTAAGTATACTCAAAAATTATGAACAACCTGAGTAATATAAGCATTCAGTTGTTATTAATGGTACTTTTCGAACATGGTGGCCTACGAAAAATGAGGGAAACTTGCCAGAAGAGGGTCTGAGATGAAGCAGGGCGCAGTAAAGGGAGGTGTCAGAAGATCTCATGCCAAAATAGCCAACAGAGACATCGGGGAACGAGGTGGCTTATTGATAAAAAAAAAGATGCATATAGAGTGCTCATCCACCTCTTTGAATGAGTGCTAACACGACACGAAGATGTACGCCGCACATTGTTACTCGCAGAACACAGTTCTACTGCGATGTGCTTTTTTAGGTAACGCCTCGTTCACCAATGGTGTGTCTCCCTAACTCGATCTGGTTTATCAATGCGCACCTTAAAGCAATACCCTCACATCGAATCTGTCAGGTCACAGCGGTTTATAGCGAAGTTGTGGATGCTGATAAAAATGAGAGCAGGAGCAAGGGAAACCATCGATGAAGCCCAAAACATTGATTCGCGTTGGAGTGAGGCGGAGGCCGGGGCAGATGAGCTGTAGGAACTGGCCTGCTTCACGGCTAACTAACCCGCACGTATTCCAATTAGTCGCTAGGCCGTAATCGCTGCGTATCATCATGGAGTGAGCCTTTCGTAACTTATCCAAATGCTGAGATCATTCGTCAAATACTGACTTTGTAAGACCCTAGCGCCATTGTCGCGCATTTTGAGCCGTGACATTAGCACACTTGTGCTATCTGGGGTACACTATCCCACCCACTGAATAGATTGTCAGACACGACTTCTGTTGGGGGGGTGCTGCTTATGTTTTAACCGAACTCGATCTTCTCATTGTCAGTACTGCTCGCTCCCATACACACCAAGCTCACCGTGGGCAGGGCTCCACTCAGATGGTTAATGTTTTGAACTTGCCAAAATATGGCCCACTCCCAAGGTATGGCCCACATATCCCACACTGGTCTCTCCGTATAGATCTCCGATTTCATCCGGAACTACCTCTTCTTTTTGACACCGTACAAAGGGTGGCTACAAAGCATGGTGCGATTTACTCGCGTGTAAAAAGATAATGACGCTGCACTTCCTCACAAAATTTTATCAAATGGTAGTTTCTAGATACAGGAACATTTATGCGAAACAAAATTATCGCCTCTGGCCAGACTACTAGCATCCAATCCCTTAGATAAGACTTCCGTGGGCTACATGTAGTTGGCATCAATGCTCTGCCATCCCTCTGGAGCACTGTTTTCAGACTTTCCAAACTGTTGTGGAAAGAAGAACTGTGGTGGGAAGAGCCTCCAACGAAACAGTGGTCTGAGGTTTGGGCAGTTAGATGGCCACATGTCTTTGTCCCAGAATCCAGGAAAGTAACGTTGGCAGAAGGAAACCGCAGTTTTCAATTGTGTGCTAGGGCCCAGTCATGTTGCAAGATAAAATTCCACCTCCCAAAGTGTTTATGGATCCACGAAATCGGTTTGACCCTCAAAATAATATTCCGATAGGTTTGATTTTGATGTTTTTTTTATCAACACTAACGAAAAGTGCCTTGCCTTTTGATGTTATCTCGGCCCAAATTATCACCGACTTCGGGAACAGACTCCTGGTTTTACCCTTCATTTTCTGGAGTTGTTCTCTGCCGGGCAAAGCTGTTGCCAAGGGTTTGGCTGTTGTGGCACCTGACCGTGAAGATGTCTATTCAGTCCAGGCGATGTCCGGCAAGCGCCCCGCAAGAACTGATGACAGAAGCTTCTTACATTTCTCCATTCTATTCTTCCTGCCCGCTTGGCTGAGCATCCGTCCTCAAAAGAGGAGCAGAGCAGCTGGGCGAATCAAGTCCAATTCACGATGTTTTTAACTTCTTTTTCGTGCAAATAAGAAGCGATTCTGTTCATGTTGACCTCGTGTTGTAGGACACCCTCTTCATCATCGTCTACCGAATCCGCGTAACGTTAACAGTTCTTGGTCGGCCTGTTCCAGGAAATGGTAGATAGTGTCATTGCACCCTGTATTGAGCCACAACTCTTCTCTCCGTTCCTTCGTTGATGTGCAACATTTTTGTGGTCCCGCAGTGGAACATCCTCGGTTCACAAGATGTGCGATGATACGATGAGGAGCCGGTCGCATTTCTTCGAGCAGTTTGTGCCGACCGTCTTGATAATTTGGCAGTAGTGCATGACTGACATGCCTCATCCAGAGTGTATGCATTACTCAGTTGAAACAGGGTTTCACAGGTTAGCAAGCGACGTGTGAATTGGCGGACCATACTCTGTAACCACCTGTGCAATTATACGTACGTATACACCTGGCAAGGGCTACTTCGCATCTACGTAGAGGCGGGGCGGCCCCGAACAGGTGCGGAAAACGCCAGTCGTCCTACTCGCTACACGGATTTCATGATATGAAGTTCAAAAGAGCTCCACGGATCCCTCCTTGTCTTGTCGAGTGAGGTCCACTTTTGCTTGATATAAGTACCTTTTTCATCATGTTTTTCGGTCTCACAGTGGCTTTTTCCGTCGCAGAGCACTACTGGAATGAAGAAAGACGTAAGGCGAAAGACAGCAACAGCAACAACAGTACGCAAAGCACTAATGCATAGAAAGCAAAAAAGAAACGTACTTCATTCGTCTCCGCGGCATCTTAATGTAGAAACAGGCTCGATTCGCCATCTTCCTAGTCACATGATGGCATCCACACTTTCTACCCAAGAGTAAACATTTTTCGCACACACGGAACATTGGTATGTTGAGACATTAAGTTTAAAGAAGATTTGATGACAAAGCACGGTTTGGAAGAAGTGTAGTTTTTCTTGTGACACGACATTTTTTTGGGGAACGGTCAACAGAATAATCAGCTCGCCGCTCCGCCTGCGGCTAATCGTGCGGGGGCTGAGCCTGCAGGACCAGGGTCAAGCGTGCGTTGAGGAATCCTCGACACGTCGCAGGGGGGGGGGTCGTATTGGCCCGCTGGGTGAAAGAGATTGGGCCATTTTGATGCAGTGGGATCATCACCGTCGGAAGACGAATATCAAGGATGAGTCGATGCCATGTCAGATGATTTCCAATGAAAATGATATTTCACCCACACAAAATTTTCGTGATTCTGAGGCGTCTGGTAATTCTCAGTCACTTCAGTGTTTTATCACCACACAAGTTAAAGAATCTGAATTTCGCACGCTTTCCAAGAGATATTTCATCTTTCAAGTAAGACCCCGAATCTGAAGGGATGTGAGGTACACGGCGCATCCGAGAAACGGTCTAGTTGTTGCGCGCGCTTGAACTACGGCTCCTTGGACAAACAACCTTAATTCGGGAACAATCGAGAGAATTCTGAAAGTGTCCGTGCGCATTTACAGGGAGGTGTACACCATTCAACATTGCGTTTACTTACGACTCTTCAAGGTTAAATTTATAAACATGTAACCTTATATTTTGAGAAAACGCTAATCAATCACTTTCTTAGAAAAAAAGGCAATGATTCCAAATCTGCTCTTACTTTAGTACATAATCGCCCTTAAGTATACAGCCGTTGAAATAGTGCCAATGTAGCGCAAACTAAGTACCTCTCAGCGGTCTCGTGCAAAAATCCCGCCGTAGCCGTTTTTAATACTGGACGTTTGAAGCACCTCCAGTAAGCATTTGATAGAGCCAAATTTTCTAGTTTATGATGGTCGTATCTACTTTTCGGATTGGATGAGTTGACGGAGTTATGGCTTATAGGAAGTAAAAAAACTCGCACTCATCACAAATTTTCTTCGTTAATTTTGCAAAAATCTCTCAACGTGGGGCATTTTTCAAATACTGAACGTATAGAGCTGCTTTAGCAACGGTTTGTAGAGAAAATCTTCTTAGTTTGTTATGCCATATTAACTTTTCGAATTGGACGAAAATGAGAGGTTTTGCGTCGGAAAGTGTGAAAAACTTCGTTGCTCATCTCGAATTTTCCTTCGTTAATTAACCTATTTGTTATTTCTTATATTTTGTAATTTCTATACTGATTAGAAAAAGCCTCTTCACGAAACTTCCAAATCTACTTTCAGATTGAAAATTCTCATAGTTTGAAGAAAGTTATAAATCATTTGAATATTTGTTCAAATTTCAATAGTAAATAAGCTGCTCCACGCGGTCAACGCCAAAGTCCAGTCAACACACCAGCTGACGAAGGCGCTTAAAAAGCTTCTTCAACTGAGGGCTACGTGCAAATTGAGAACCAACAATCTGTGTAGCTACTGAATTTGTAAGTCTTGTGGAGGAAATAAATAATTGAACAGATATTGTCATGGTATTGGCATTTTCAGTGGCTAGTTGTCGTTTCCTGGTCTGTTTCTCGTTGCTCGTTGGTAGCACTCATCAATAATGATTATTCTTTGACTTTTTCACTTTTGTACTTCTTAAACGAATTTTTTTTCGTGGGCGTGGGTAGCAGTGCTTTTTAGAGCACTTTGGGGACAGAATTAAACAGCTTTTCAACCTTCTCATAGTGCGTTTGATTGAGAGGGTTGTTTATGGACTTCGGCCTCCGCGGAGGTGGGGGGGGGTCGTATTTCCGAATTTTCCTCAACGCCTCGCTTGACCCTGTGCAGACAAAGTGTTGTCTCTATTGACTTACGAGAAGGATGGCGATCCCATATTCTCTCTCTATGACTAGTAGATGTCTTATACTGTGAAACTGAAAGTGGACAGACTCACTCCACCTAACTAAGATAACCATGCATTTTCTCAAATATAATACATTGTTCATTCATTTTTCAAACCACCTGTGATTCAACATTATTTTTTGGAGTTTGAACTTGAAACTGGAAATTCTTTCTTTGTCACAGTTTCCCTAACTTACATACCAAGTGGTCCCTTTCATCAGCATTTCTTGCAATCGAGTGCACCAATTTTTACCTCTATTGACATTAGGCGTTATTTGAAAGAAGGTTTGAAATCTGTTGAAAGTTCTTTGTCATCTAAACGGTACAATCAGCAGAGTGAAATACGCTAGATGGTTTCTTCGCAACTCTTTTGAACATTGGAAGGTTTTGGAGACCGTAAGGTCCATCAACGAGGTGTTTCCTGGAGAAACTAAGCTATCGGCGAAAGGTGAAGAAAGCTGACTTTAGAACAGGTTCAGCTCCCTGTACTAAACTTGTGGGAAGAGACTTTTGTTCAATGTTCTAGCGATGGAACAAAATATTATATTTTTGTCACTTGTCTGCCCCTTAAGTAGAGGTTTCACCTTCACTTCCACTAACTAGACCTAGTCGTTTAGCAGGTCCTTAGCAATGCAATAATTACTGCTGTTTATATGTCATGTTGTCATCAATCACCGCTTAAGATGACGATTTCGACCGAAAACCACCTTCAGAGGATTATCCTAGCTCTACTCACTGCCTTGTTAATTTCAGCCGCTATAATATAGCTAGCTTCACGGCGATATTCGTCCTTATCGACGAATCGCCTTCCGATGAGGATCTCTCATTCTCGAAGATCGCCCATCGAAGAAATGCTTCTGTAGTGTTCCTGTCATCCAAGAGTGATCGCAAATTGGCCGCCCGAAGTCGAAGCGATGAAATACCCGTGTGCGATCTGCTGAAACAACGATTCGTCGACAAAGGCGAGTTTGACATGAACACAACCTGGTGCTTGTAAAACTCGTCATTACATCCTGAACAGAGCTTACCCTCGTAATCTTCGAGATCAGCTATTCTTTTTAGGTCTGGCTCGATTTGACCGAACACTTTCTACTAACGCGCCAGAGCTTTGTGGAAGAGTACATGTCTTCTTCGTCAGCGCACCCGTCTTCCGTGCCTTACGAATTGGTAAGGCGTGACACTAATACTTTTTGGAACAAGCATTCTGACAGGTTGACAAATTCAGCCCAGAATTGCTGCTAGTGATGACGAAGCCCCTGTCACTACACCACCTTTTCTGAATTTTAATAGATGATCGTGCGGAACTGTTGATTGTTCCAGGTGACGCGCGAGGGATGCAGTTCGTTCTACATGAACGTGCAGTGTTTGATTTTTTGAAGCAGAAACGGATTGTCGCCGATCTTCTCGACTCGCCGTCACCAGATGAGTTCAAGGATAATGTGCATACGAATCCGAACTTGGACACAGCCGGTGTGACTATCGAAAGCTCATAAATGATTAATTGATTCTGATCATTCTCAGCTACCATAGAGAAACAACTGTAATCTATTCGTTCGTGCCGTGGCCAACGTAATCGTTACGATGTGATATAGCGTTGCCCTAGCTAACAATGATCTTTGTGCTCACTGTCTGAGAATACCGCCTTGTTTTGCTCGTGTCTTTTTCTGTGCCCTTTGCTATGAACATTATGTGATCACTCAGTGTCAACTTGTTCCGGTCATGTATTTCGTTTGGTCCATTTTTCCCCACGTGCTGGATCCGTTCACTGCACGGCTTGGACGCGCCCTCATCTAACCGTGCACTTTCTCCCCGCAGGCACATCCACATCAAACGAATTCATGATCAGATGGAAAAAAATCACAGGATGTACCAAAAAGGTACTTTAAAAAGTGCTAAGAATTAGACATGCTAGGTGCCACCAGGTGCAAATCAAAAGGCTATAAATATGCAGAAACAACGTGTATAAGAGGTACTAAATCTATACCGTCTCGAAACAGGAAGCAACACCATTCTGATGCTGTCTGGGAGCCCTATGTTACCTGAATTCGTCTCAAATTTTGCCAAAATGTATTGTTGTCCGTTTGAGTAGATGGAATAGTAGATGTTGTCTCAACTGTTGGGATAAAACAGCAAGGGTCCTAGGGTTCTACGGACTACAGACTGAAAGGAGTTTTGCAACAAAATGCCTAGTGTATTTCTTTTTCAGCACTTCGAACACTTACTTTATTAGGTTGGCCAGATTGAAATGTCCTTTTCGATCATCAATTAGTTTCATTATGAAAACAATAATGAAGCATTCTATATTTCTCCGCCATCAGATATAGAGGCCAAAATCCACGATCTTCATCCTCAGCTCCTTTCCCTCAGTCTTGGAGAGCCGAAATCATAGCTGAAAGTCCATCGGAAACTAGGGTTGCTGCTCAATGTTTTGCATACAATGAGTGGCACTCGTTGGCCGTTTTTCGTCGCTTGAATATACAGTGGCGCTCAAAAGTATTCGGCCAAATCCTTTTTTCAGCCACAACTTTCTTTCTGCTAAATCAAATCAGTTCAATTTTTGTTATGTTCTAGAGACAAACATTATTCACTAAGCAAGTGTATTACTGTCGAATGGGAGAGAGAATTATGAAAGGAAAAATTATTGCGTTGGAAATTCTGAAGTATGACCGAATTCCGAGTAAGTTTCCATTTGTTGTAAAAAGCTTAAAATTCAACAAAACAATCTACCGCATAATATAATAGAAAACGTTGGCCAGATTCAATACTTTCTTAATTACCTTCTGGAGTTGTTAAAACATTAACAAGGTCTAGGTGTGGAAGCAATCACAGATTGCAGTGCCTGCTGGGACAACCTCAGGCCTTCTCCTCGAATTTCGCAAGTTTCTCTTCCGTCTTCCTGACTTTCTTCTTGCCGAAGGTTTTTCTCACTTCTTCCATAGTGTTTCAAAGACGCTTATGACATGTGACTAAATTGGCTGCTCCGTTAGAAGTACGCCATTCTGCCGAAACCACTCCTTCACAGTGGATGTGTGATGCTTTTGGTCGCTCCATCGCTAGAATACGAAGACAATAGACATTTGCCACATGTGTGGATACGCAATACCTTCTAGTACCTAGATGCGTCGTCTACCCTTCACCAATGTCGCGAATTCCACTGCAGCGCTACAGCTTACCACAATCGAGCCTTCGCTTGGTTACAAGGATGGTAGGCGATACCTTGGATCGAAACGCTTTCCGTCAGCATCCAACACACGCCTACCACCGCCGCCGCCAAATATCCTAAACTTACTTTCGTCGCTCCAGATGACGCTAGATTCCTATGGAACTCTCTAGGAAAAATTTAGATGTGCGTAAAATCGTTCCATCTTTTACCACTTCACACTCAAACAACTTCACAGGAATCCTGAGCGGTGAGGGCAGACGGAAGCATTTAGTTCTAAAAGGTACTGTGTATTCACACGTGCGGCAAATGCACACCATGTCTTCGTCTTCTAGCAATGGAGCGATCAAAAGCATCGCACCTCCAGTAAAGGAGTGGTTTCTCCAGCATGGCGTGCTTCTAACAGTGCGGCCAATTCAGTTACAAGTTCTGAGCGTCATTGAAACACTATGGAAGAAGTCAGGGAAACCGTCGGCATCCACACTTAGGCCTTGTAAAGGTTTAAACAACTCCAGAAGGTTATCAAGAAGGTACTGAATCTGGTCAATGTATTATGCGTTCGATTGTGTTGTTGAATTTTGTGCTGTTTACAATAAATAGAAATTTACTCCGAATTCGGTCATACTCGAAAATTTCTAGTGCAATAATTTTTCCTTTATAATTCTCTCTCCCATTCGACAGTAATGCACTTGCTTAGTGGAGAAGGTTTTTCTGAAGAATTTAACAAAAACTGAACTGATTGATTCAGCAGAAAGAAAGCCACGGCCGAAAAAGCATTCGGCCGAATACTTTTGAGCGCTACGCTATACTCTCTGACGATGATTTCTGATCAGTACTTCTCAAGCAAAAGTTTTTGCTCGAAGAACATCCACTCGGTGGCGACTAAGATTTCGGGATATGCGCGTTGAATCGCTTTCTCGAATGAATGGTCTAACATTCTGAGAGATTGTCTTCGAGCTGAGAAACAAAGGCACAAACCAATCTTACCAACCAACCTTATACATATTTTTCCTCCAATTCATACTATCGATAATCGATAAACGGACTCCACAGGAGTGAAAGGCTCTGGGTGGGATCACTTCTGAATTTGACCCTGAACGTTGCTCGTGGCGAGTGGTGCCACTTGCCAATTCACCACTTCCGCCCGATTAGTTCAATTTACTGATGAATTGTGAAACTAACTCACTGTGTTCTGCATCCCTTTCTGCTTGACCTCACTTTTAAACTCGGTGATCGTCTTGCTTTGTTTGGGTCCGTGTTTGACAATCCCAGAGGTTTCCTATAGAAGCAGCACAATGTGCTGAGAGCTCGAGCCGGGAAAATTAACCCAAGAGTATTCCTATTTATAATTTATGGTCGAGCTTTCCTACAACTTGAGTCGTTATATGAATGCAGACTATGGCAAATTTAGGCGCGAATAGTTCCTTCACACATATGGCCTTCACATGTATTACTATGATGTACATGTTTTACATGTACGTTCCTTTTGACTCAGTTGAGCCCGCTGACAAGCTATTAGCCATAAAATGTCACGTTTATGAGCTCTTTGACATCATTCAACGTCGAGTCTACATTTTCGCTATCTTGTGGCAAGCCCTCGACGGAGCAGTCATCAGTTTGAAAATCCAGTCTTCATCACCCTGACGACATCACAGCGATCGCCCAGGTTGTTTGAAATTCGCCTTTCCTTCGAGCTCGTTCCTTGTTTATTATGTTTCCCACAAAATGTTTGCGTTCCGGTGCTGCGATTGCTGAAACAATTGCGCGAGCACCTCATGAATTATTGAAGTTTTGAATTGTGAACTCTTATCCAGGTCTATCCATCTATTCGAAGTTCACTCTCTGAATACTACAGCGCGCGTAACCTTCCACCCATTACCACAGCTCGCTTTCCTTCTATCATTTTTGAGGCCCTTCGCACAATACTGTGTAAAGATATGATGACCATGTATGAACGCAGTAATATCCAGTCTTTCTAATCAGCAATCATCAGTCATAATCATGTTCGTCTCAACGTTTAATGTGCCAGATTATGATATTGTTCTTTGCGCACTTGGCCGTCATGAACTAGCTCTGAAGCAGTCCGTAACCAAAAGGACTACTGCCACAACATTTTTTAAATAGGGACGTTCAAATGTGGAAGTGTTGATCTTGTTAAATTGCACTTAGTGCAATCGGTCAACAGCCGGGTTGCGCTTGCGTCCCATATGCATGGTAACAATAAGCTTGAGTTTCTCTGAATCACTACACCTCTGCGACTCTGCTCAGAGTCTTTTAACAAACATGGGATACAGACCAGCGCTCGAGAATGCATCATGTGGAGAAATCTCACCCCAAATGGCCCAGCCTACTATCGTCCCTCTGTCAGTAGTCAAAGCAAGATTGAGCAGTGAGCTTCATCCAAATCAGGTTCTCCACCACATTCGGTAAAGCTCTTCATTACAGGCTTCGAACAATATTGCCACTGCTAGCGCAGATGCATACTCTTGGACCTGAGTAGACATTCGGCGGTTCTCCCAGTGTAGCTTCCTGTAGATGGAATTGTTCTGCTGGATGAAAATTCACAACCTTGTGTGTAAAAGTCAAAAAGTCTCATACAGAAACGTGGTTTCATGATCCCCGAATCATTACATTAACATGGTCCAATACAAATCAAACCAGTTCCGCTCTTCTGCTCAAAGCGAGGCGTTACGATGAGATTTGGCTGCTTACAGTGGAAGTGGGGTTGCTCAATAATGCGCCTGTAGCAAAGAAGAGGAGAAATCCGTCGAGAACACGTAAAATGGGCCCCTCTGCTTGCCATCCGACCGCTGCCAAGCGACGAGCCAGCAACACAGCAGGGGGATAGCAAGGGTCGTTTGCACGTGTCAACATAGCACGATCATCGCAACAAACAACATGCTTTGTGATAACGCTTTTCAGAGAAAAGTTATAGGAAATCCCCTATCTCGAAGCTTGAAGTGAAATACCCTATCAAAATAATTATCAAACGATGCTGCCTGGCAAATGCTAATGGGCGTAGCTCTGAAAGGCCTGGTAAGCCCATTGCGCTACAACTAGCGCACCTTGGGCCCAGAGTCAGTCCTATGTTGCGACATGCACCAACGGGGGAGAGGGTCGTATTTTGTTGAGTTTGTAGGTGGGGGACGTATTCGGCTATTCAGTGTAATCTTAGAATACATGGGTGAGTTTTAGGGCTCGTAGTGTGAAGTAGCGGGAAAAACTTGGCCATTTCACTGTACTTATTATATACCCCCCGCTTGACGGTTGGACTTTCTTAGTTTTGAAGGGAAAAGTAGGTGGGGCTAGGAGTGGCGACTGGTCTCAGAA